AACAGTATAGTATATTTTTATGATTCAATTCAATTCAAAAATACTTTATTAATCCCAGAGGGAAATTGATTGCTGTAGTAGCTCAGAATAATAATAATAATCAAGTCATCAAAGAGTTGTTGTATATTACAATGGCTGTTGGCAGGAAGGATCTCCATTAGCGGTCAGTGTTGCAGCGAAACTGAAGAAGCCTCTGACTGAAGACACTCTTCCGTTGTCGGACAGTCTTGTGAAGAGAATGCTCAGGGTTGTCCATCATTTTCTTGATTCTCTGGAGAATCCTTCTTTGCATTATCTCCTCCAGCAGTTCCGAAACTGCCGATACCCTGGCTGAGTCCTTGAAAGGGCTTGGAGTTCCTCCATCTTGTTGGCCAGTGATCTCACATTATGATCAATGGAAGAGATGGTTTGAATTTCCTCTTTCTCTGTCTCCGTTTTGCTCCCGCTCAGCATCCACGCTTCTTGCGTTTTAGCTCATTTGGGATTTGTGGCTTCAGTTGAGGTATTATTTCAGCCTTTCCAATGTTAATCAGCTGCTCACGATTGTAAACCAGCCTGTTGTCATGGTTACGCATCATAAGAAATGCTCAAAAAGTGATAAAAGGTAAAAAAAAATAGTAGTAAAAATCCTCCAAGCTTCACAGCACCAGAAACAGAAAAGTAAAATGTCCAAAAAAATACAGTTTTTCTTGAGAAACTAGAAGAAAAAATGCCCAAGAAAAGGCTAAATTTACATATAGTCAACAGAGCTCCTCCAACATGCAGCCCAGCGCAGCATTAGCGACATGTACTAGTCCAAGCCTACAGCTGATGTGAGATCAGTGCATGAGAGGTGAAAGAAGACGCTCTGATGAGGAAATCTGATTCCAGCCATTAGACATCATCTGGTAGTGATTTATGAAGGTGTCTGGTGTTGCTGGGTGTCATTTTGCCAACAAGGGCTGAATGGTCTTCACAGTGACAGTCGACTCTGACAGCCTCTACCCAGAAGGCCTCTCTTGTTCCACAAACTGGATGTGTTGCTTTTCATTTATTCATTCATTTCCATGTGGCCAAGCACTGTCACTTTGATGAATTGGGCCTGGAACTGGCCAATTGTTTTCACTCGATGGGACAAGTCTCACACGCTCTGAACTTAAACGTTCTCAGTGTGTGTGTGTGTGTGTGTGTGTGTGTGTGTGTGTGTGTGTGTGTGTGTGTGTGTGTGTGTGTGTGACGGGGGGGGGGGGTTGCTTTTCTATTTTCCTAGGAGGCAACATGAGAGTCGCTGTCACTGTCACCAACACTGGCCATCCCACCTGATTTCCCGGGAGCTTTCTAATTAAAACCTGTTTGAGGGATTGAAGCTTCAGTTTCACCAGGATGCTTCACGCCAGGAGGGGATTTAGGAGTGAGGGCCAGTTTTAGCGCTGATGGCAGGGCCTCAGTGGGAATGTGGAGGTGTTGGTGAGCTGCTGACTCTGTCAGCCTTTTGACAGAAAAACTTAATGACCAGGATAAAGTTGCAGTGAACAGAGAAAAGGTTTGGATGAAGGTCCCAAAGCGCCCAAGAAAGAAAATGTTCTTGTTCATTTGAAGGTTTTAGGGAAATAATGGGATTGTGTCAAAGATTTTTAACAAGCTCATGCTGGTTAAACCAATCAAATGACATTTGATAGGCTGAATAAGTACTGTCCGTGCTAGTTTGTTCATGTTCTTTAGTCTGAGCTGCAATTAGTGATGTTCCATCAGTTTAATTTTACTGGCTGATTCTGCTCAGGATAACAGGAATTTGGTGTGAAACAGGAGGTGGGGCTACACCTGGACAGAGTCACACACCTGTTTAACCCTCTCACTGTCTTTATGGGTGACCCCGCGAGGAAAGTTGACCGTTGAGCAGGATTGATGGTTTATCCCTTGAGGTCCATGTGGCAGGGGTGAGGTGGTGCTCACTCCTCACCCCTGCCACATGGACCCAAGGGATAAACCATCAACCCTGTTCAATGGTCAACTTTCCTCGTGGGGTCACACCCATTAGGACAGTGGGAGGGACATGGACTGTGTGAGAAACCCAGAGAGACATGCTTGGGGACAACATGCTAACTCAACACAGAAAGGTCAGACCTGGACCCTGTAGCTACAAAGCAGCAATGCTATCAGCTACGCCACCATGTAGTCACACGTTGTTTTCTTTCCTGTAGCTGAAGAACATTGAAGACATTCTCACGTAACCTTCATTTAAAAACAACAGTTTAATATCACAAACTTGTAAAACAGCTCTGTTTTTTTTATGAAGCACCATGTTGGCTTCACTTTTTAAATGCTTTCACTTAATAATCCTCAAAACTCCTGAGTTTTTAGTAACAATACACAGTAAAAATGAACAGCACACATTTTTATTCTGTATAAGATAGAAAAGTTTGAAAAAATTTAACAACATTTAAGCATCAGGTGAGCAGTGTTATCAATCCACCCGTCAACATCAATCAGAAGTTAATAACTGATTGTTTTCCTCTCATTCTGACTGATATTGTGCACAAACACATCAGCTGATTGTTTGCTTCGTTTTTAGAGTGAAAGCCTCACAGATCTGCCAGATGACAGGTGATAACGTCTTCTCATTCTGGGGGAAAAGTGCCAAGATTCCAAATAATGAAATGATCCCTCCTCCTGCCGGAGTCTTCAGACTGCGGCTGTGAACAACACATGTTCCTAATTTAACCTGATGCTTTCATTTCACACATTTGTTAATGCAATTACATGTTTTATGATTCTCTGCTGTTGTAATTTGCCTTCTTCCTCCCGTCACTGTTGCTGATTTTAACAACGTAATGCTTTGTTTCAGTAGATAATTGGGTTCCACTTCCCACCGTCAACCTCACAGATGTTGAGAGTACAGACACAAACCACTGCCATCATTATCAGCCAGCCGACAAAACCAACCTGACAGCAAATAATACAGCATGCCCGTGGGGAGGGTGGAAACACACGGGGGTGAAATATGTCAGAACAGATCAAACCTTCAGAATATTTTAGCATGCATTTCTCTGAGTCCCCAAAACAAAGTTATTTCCTCTTCTGGATATCTGAAATCAGCTCTATTTATATGCGTGGTCTGGCATGCCATTGGGAATGCCGCGTCTTCTCACTTGTCTCAGGTGATGGAGAGAAAGCAGAAAACAAATTATCACATTTTCTTTAGTTTCTCTGTGGATTGATGTAACCATGGTGAGGCCTGCAGAGTTAGGTCTGCAGGCTGCAGCTGTATTCACCTTCCTGAGGCAGCGGCGGTGGGTTACCTTGGTGGAATGAACAAAGCGTGCAGGAAGCCCAAAGAAACATCAGAAGTGTGTCAAACTTATTGTTGAACCGGGTGTTCTCTGTACATCTCCTGTCTGCTGCTCTTACAAAGAAGGTTCAGTGGTTGGGTCAGGTGAGAAACTAAAGATGTTCCAAAAGGAAGCTGTTAGTTGAATTTCACTAACTTGAAATGGAAAACAGTACAGCAGTAGAGCGAATGTAATTCAAATTAGAACATTTCCTTGTGGGATTGAAAATGTGAATAACTGCAGTGTGTTTGCTTGAGTATTATAGTACATAAGACTTCTTGGGGACAGTAAAGAGACACCATTAGAGGGGCTTAAGTGTAAAAAGTCCTTAAAGAGGATTTCACATTTTTTATTGTAAAACTGTGAAGTCTTTGGAACTGACTGTTATACTCCATGCTCAGTGCAGTGAAGGTTTGCAGAAAGCTGAATGATTTTTTTTTCTTCTTTTCGCTCCCACCTGCTTGAGAGCAGTTGTTTGGGCAAGGTGGTAAGCCATGTGGGAATGTGGAGCCCGGCAGCTCTTTGCAGATACACAAGCCTGTGCTTTCATGCCCAAACCCATCAAAATGGCCCCGTCAGGCTGCTATCACCTGGGACTGGCTGCTGCAATACAGAAGGATTAAAGCTTTTTCTAAAGCCTTTTCACAGCCAAAGGTGTGTGCAATAGCAGCTTGTGTGCCATTTTCCACCCCAAAGGTAAACTTAACTGCACAGGATTTATAAAAGCTGGAAAAGCACAGGGAGGTATTTCTGCATCCAAGTTGGAAGCTAATTAGCCTATAGGCAAGACTGCTTGGTGAGGTATATGCAAAAAAATGAAAAAAAGATTTTCTTGAGTGCATTGTTCAGTTTAAAATACAGTTAGTTAAATTCACAAAGAGATCAACTAGACTTCAAGATGATGTAAAACATTGTTGTTTGTTTGTTTGTTTGTTTGTTGCCAGTTTAGGGATTTGTTGATAGAAATATCTTACTAAATTATTTGTGTTGCAGCTTTTATGGTTATTCTGCTTGTCTCATCTGTGCCACACTGATAAAAAGTTAGGGGGGGGGGGGTGTAGCTGATTCACAGTCTGTGACAATTAACAATCCCGTTAGCCCATGTGTGATAAACAGCATTAGAAGAGGGCCATTTGTTATGTCCTTATCTTTCTGGCTGATGATTAAAAAAGACTGAATTATTCATTATCAGACAGTTCTGGGAAAAAGTGGAAACCAGACAAAGATTATGGCTTCAGATATGTTATCTTGCAGTGGGGTGACAGCTGTATGGAGCCCACGGCAGGATACGCTGGAGTGTTTGGTGTCTAATTGGATCAGTGTGAAGAGATCCACAGAGAGTATACTGCTTAGCAAGATAATCTGTTCTTCTTTTGCAAAAAAAAATAAAGAAATAAATACTTTTTGCTGTTGCCTTGAAATAAATACAAGAAAATTATGTATTTTGTTATTCATTTGAAATTAAACTGCAAAATGCACGTTTCTTGTAAAGTTTTCAAAACAAACAAAAAAAACCTATGCAGTTTTCTGTCAACCATTTATGTTCATTTTTTTAAATTATTTTCTGGTTTTAAAGTGTTGGACCGGATGTGCCAATCCAGACGCTGTCCTTGGTGCTGAAGTGTGAGTTCCATCCGTGGAAGTTCTGCCATCTAGTGGCTGTTAATAAAACACGCCATCTGGAACTAAAGCGTTTGTTTTCCATTTTCACCCGAGTCACAAAACGTGTTGCACCGTCAACGCAACTCAACATTCATTAGTATCATCCTGTTTTAGTAAGTATTAATGCTTATTTTTTCAAATCTTTTTAAATTATGTTGCACATAAAATGGTTAAATAAATATTTCTAACCAGCTACGAAGCAAAAGTTAACGGTATTTAGGACAGTTTGTGTTTGTTTTTAGCCTGTAGCAGCATTAGCTTGTCGACATGCTAGCATAAAAAAATAGATGTAACTGTTTTCATACTTGGGGAGTTTAATGACATCTATTACAGACAGTAAAGTATTGACCACTTCGTTTCAGTGACTGCGTGTGTATCTTGATATTAAAGGTCATTAATTTAATCGGGTGTTTAAAACTAGCCTAAGTGATCGTTCATGCACCAGACTGAAACGAAGTGTTGATGACGTCACACCTAAGATGATCTAAATCCAGTCTACTTAACGTTTCCTGGTGGATTGGTCTGTCCGTCCAGCCCATGGCCTGACAGCAGCCAGCTGACATGCTGCTGAAAGACCTCCCAAGAGAAGCCCTGATGCGGCCCTTGTCGAGGAATGAGGTGCTCGGCATGTTGGTGAGACTGACCATCTTTGGTGCAGCCACGTACTACAGCATCAAATGGGTGGTGGAGGCAATGGACCCCACTGCTAAACAGAAAAGTCAAGCCAAGAAGAGGGTTTGTAGAAATCCTTGTTAAATACTTGGAATAGTTATGTTTTAGTCACGTGTGTAATCCTCCCCTGCTCCCTCTGGGTCGCAACTCTGCAGGCAGAACAGCTGATGAAGAGAATCGGTGTGGAGGGGGTCAGACTGACCGAGTATGAGATGAACATTGCAACTCACCTTGTTGATCCACAGACTGTAAAGGTAATTTATAACTTTCTGTTACAGACACCAGAATAATCACGTGGCATGAAGTTGTATCTATGTTGGTTTTATGACAGTGGATTCTGTGTGTCCGACTTCCCGCAGGTGTCCTGGAGAGACATCGCTGGTCTGGATGAGATCATTCACGAGCTGCAGGACACCGTAATTCTGCCCTTCCAGAAACGACACCTTTTGCCTGGATCGAAGCTCTTCCAGCCTCCCAAAGGTACTCCAGTGTGTATATACGTAAACCTAGAGCTGTAATCTAGACTAATATATAACGCTAAATAAGAATATGATCAGCTTTCTTTGTAGGTAAATTATTGGCTTGTATGTAGGAAAAGGCAATATGGCTTCAAATCTATTTCGATACATTTTAAAGCACATGCTGTAATGATATATTTTGCAATATATTCTTTTCTTCTGTTTATACATGTCTAAATGACTGATCAATCTCACATACCAGAATAATTGCAGCGCAAATCATTCTAAAAAGTATATAATCCAATTTAAATAACATTAAATGTTAAAACCCTATTTAATAAATGAAAAATATCTCAAGTAGTTTTTATGTTAATTTTCTTTTTCCAATCATTGCAAGAAAATATAAGCTAAATATGTGGAAAACACAAAATACTGAATTGTTTGAACTGAAGTGAAAAATATAAAAAAACAAAACTAAAGTTTATTTCTGCTATCTTGATTAATTTATACATTTTTCATGTTTTTCTTTTTTCATAGAAGATACTTTTCAAGTAAGAAGTGAATAACTGCAGATAAAATGATGCCCTGCTGCATTTTTTCTCAATAATATTACAATAAGTTTGGAGGTTTATCCAATTTCTTTCACTTTTGTTGAACTGCGCTCAGACCAGTCATCAGATCAGCTTGTCCATGGATTTGCACATGCGCCCCAGTGTGCACCACTGCACTGATATCACGGAGGTTTTAATGTTGCAAAACTGATGGAATATGTCTGATCTCTGAATTGTGTGTACTGAAACTCTAATTGCCCTCTGGGATTAATAAAGTATCTTTGAATTGAATTTGATTTAAAAGTAATTTATATTGAATCAATCAAACCAGTGACAGAGTAATTAAACATATTAAGACATGTTACCTTACGAATTGTATGGCCTGTATTTAAAATAGCGCCTTCTAGAGTCCTGGAACCCCCCAAGGCACTTTACATAACAATCGGTCATTCACACACACATTCAGACGCTGGTGGGGATGAGCTACGATGTAGCCACAGCTGCCCTGGGGCGCACTGACAGAGACTGGGCTGCCGTACACTGGTGCCACCGATCCCTTTCGACCACCACCAGCAGGCAAGGTGAGTTAAGTGTCTTTCCCAAGGACACAATGACAGCAAAAACAGAGCGGGGCTCGAACTTGCAACCTTCTGATTATATGGTGAGCACTTAACACCTGTGCCACTGTCACCCAGATTAAAATAAGATGCCCAAAAACACATGCAAACACTTAAACTTGGAACAAAGCCTTCTTTTGTTTAATAATAATGGAGTTCTATTGTGTTTCAGTGTTTTAATTTAACCCAAAGTGTAGAATACGGGACATAATAACTTTTCTACCAGCCACCTCTTTCAAAGGGACATTTTATCTGTTCTCTGCTCACCAGCCACTGCTCAGGCTCGTTCAGCTATAAACAATAAATCCGTCTCTAAGTTCTCGCCCCTTTCAGGCTCTGAGCTGTTCAAAACCGTAACAACATAACTTGAAAAGTTTGACTCTGATTTAATAGGAGTAATCAGAGTTGTTCAAATAAGACGTTAATGACTAACCACACACACACACCAGTATGAATAAATCACCTAAGCTTGTCTTCTCCTGTGTGGCATTTTTGTGCTTCATGCTAGAGAACAGAGTCTTGACAGGATTTATCCACTTGATGGCAAAACAATAGAGGATCAGATAAAAGGATACCATTACTGGAGAGTTTTATCACTAAACTTTGCACTAAACCTTGTGTAGCAATTAATACATATTAATTATTATCAATAAGATGTGATATTCTATATAAATATGAAATATCGATCTGATTGATCTTTGAATGGTTAATCAGAAGATTCTATCTAGAGGTCTTTGCTTATTCAGGGACTGTAAACACACTTCGTATTAATTCAGACAGAGTCAGGTGTAGCAATAAATATAGATTTATATCTATAGTTCAAATGTGGTGTAGATTTACAGTGGGGCAAAAAAGTATTTAGTCAGCCACCGATTGTGCAAGTTCTCCCACTTAAAATGATGACAGAGGTCAGTAATTTTCATCATAGGTACACTTCAACTGTGAGAGACAGAATGGGAAAAAAATCCTTGAATTCACATGGCAGGATTTTTAAAGAATTTATTTGTAAATCAGGGTGGAAAATAAGTATTTGGTCAATACCAAAAATTCAACTCAATACTTTGTAACATAACCTTTGTTGGCAATAACAGAGGTCAAACAATTACTATAGGTCTTTACCAGGTTTGCACACACAATAGCTGGTATTTTGGCCCATTCCTCCATGCAGATCTTCTCGAGAGCAGTGATGTTTTGGGGCTGTCGCCAAGCAACACAGACTTTCAACTCCCTCCACAGATTTTCTATGGGGTTGAGGTCTGGATACTGGCTAGGCCACTCCAGGACTTTCAAATGCTTCTTACGGAGCCACTCCTTTGTTGCCTGGGCAGTGTGTTTGGGATCATTGTCGTGTTGGAAGACCCAGCCACGTTTCATCTTCAAAGCTCTCACTGATGGAAGGAGGTTTTGGCTCCGAATCTCACGATACATGGCCCCATTCGTTCTGTCCTTAACACGGATCAGTCGTCCTGTCCCCTTAGCAGAAAAACAGCCCCAAAGCATGATGTTCCCACCCCCATGCTTCACAGTAGGAATGGTGTTCTTGGGATGCAACTCAGTATTCTTCTTCCTCCAAACACGACGAGTTGAGTTTATACCAAAAAGTTCTACTTTGGTTTCATCTGACCACATGACATTCTCCCAATCCTCTGCTGTATCATCCATGTGCTCTCTGGCAAACTTCAGACGGGCCTGGACATGCACTGGCTTCAGCAGCGGAACACATCTGGCACTGCAGGATTTGATTGCCTGCCGTTGTAGTGTGTCACTGATGGTGCTTTTGTTGCTGTGGTCCCAGCTCTCTGCAGGTCATTCACCAGGTCTCCCCGTGTGGTTCTGGGATTCTTGCTCACCGTTCTCATGATCATTTTGACCCCACGGGATGAGATCTTGCGTGGAGCCCCAGATGGAGGGAGATTATCAGTGGTCTTGTATGTCTTCCATTTTCTGATAATTGCTCCCACAGTTGATTTTTTCACACCAAGCTGCTTGCCTATTGTAGATTCACTCTTCCCAGTCTGGTGCAGGTCTACAATTCTTTTCCTGGTGTCCTTCGAAAGCTCTTTGGTATTGGCCATAGTGGAGTTTGGAGTCTGACTGTTTGAGGCTGTGGACAGGTGTCTTTTATACAGATAATGAGTTCAAACAGGTGCCATTAATACAGGTAACGAGTGGAGGACAGAAAACCTTCTTAAAGAAGACGTTACAGGTCTGCGAGAGCCAGAGATTTTCCTTGTTTGAAGTGACCAAATACTTATTTTCCACCCTGATTTACAAATAAATTCTTTAAAAATCCTGCCATGTGAATTGATGGATTTTTTTTCACATTCTGTCTCTCACAGTTGAAGTGTACCTATGATGTAAATTACTGACCTCTGTCATCATTTTTAAGTGGGAGAACTTGCACAATCGGTGGCTGACTAAATACTTTTTTGCCCCACTGTATCTTATTGTAATGTGTATGAGTGTAAACAATGATTAACTTGTTAAATCAAACACAGACTGATTTGTGATATAAAGGGATCATTGTAAGAACAATATTCATTTTAAATTAATTGATTTAAGCACAGATTATTCAAACATTTCATTTAAACATCTTGTTTATTCATCACATATGATTATTTAACTTATAACTATAAAATCATGGAGTGTTCACTTATTCAGAGGGAAGAATGTTGACATCTGGTTTTCACAGAGAGTGCAGGAACCTTGGGAGAGAATGTTTGAATGTTTTGTCTTCATGGAATGTCAACATGCGCTGAGCAGAACCTTCTGGATTTAGAAGGCCAAATAGAAAGTGGATTTATGCTGTAAATGTTGGTCAATATATAGGTGAAAATTGACCCTTTTGGTACGTTACAACCCCCCCACCTCCCCTTCCAAGGTCACGGGGTCACCGCAAAGACCACGAGGCGTTGGACAATCTTAGAGGCCCTGAGGACTCAGCAGAGGAAGACAGAGTTAGTTCTCAGGCACTGAAGCATCAGGAGTGAGGAAAAGCAAACCCCCACACAGAAGAATAGTCAGTAGATATCCCAATCAGGAAATAGTAATCCCACTTAGCTAAATCCGCAGACAGGGACCGCGATGAGAAGGAAACCAGATCCATAAGCAGAAACCGACCAGATCCCAGCGATCCAGGAAACCATAGCAGGAAAACCATAGGATCTCCAGAAGAACTGGAACCCAGAGTAGCAGAACCAGGCGATGAAGCAGTGATGTTACCCCATGTAGTGTAATGGTTTATGGCTCTTTTATGAAAGATGAACCATTCTACATATTAATTTGAGATATTAATTTTAATAAATTAATAACCAAATGTTATAGAGATAAGAAGACTCAAAGGTTGTTTTCATCGATAAAATGACGATCATATCCGTGTGTCTGTGTTTCAGTTCGATGAAGAGACAAGTTTGAAATTTAAAAATTTTAATTCTTCAATTTAAACTAATGATTTGAAATGACAATCATAGGAAAAATAATCAACATTGGCAACCTTGTTGGACAATCTTTAACAGTTGATATTTTAAGCTTGCACAAATAGACCTTGTGTTGGATGTGCTAAGATTTGAGGATGATGGAATTATGAATGCGTGCATGCAGGTGTCTGAGATTGCTTCAGGGAGAGAAAAGGTGAATCTGAGTGAAAAATGGTGGTTTGAATTAAACTTAGTTCTTATTAGAAAAACTGCATCAGAACGCTATCTATCGTGTTCTGTCTCACCGACTTTAGGACCCTCTTTAGATCCGGACCGAAGGAGGATGTTTCTCCAGGTGCCACCTTGGCTGACAGAGAAGACGAAGGTGTGCTGACGGTCCAGTCCAGAGTTGACCTCGGTACACGTTTCTGGAGCGTTCGGCAGATGCGCTTTCTCAAGTTTAAATTAACTCAGAAATCAAAGACTCTGGACAAGTCTGCGTTAGCTGGTTGCATTACGCTATCCTGTCTGGCTTGACAGGAATAGCGTGGGGGGGGGGAAGAGCCGGCGGGGCTCCGTTCCCCGTTGGCGTTTGTTCTGCACGTCCTCTCTCTTTCATTGTCAGTCTCGTACTGATTAACTTACCATAAACCACTTCTCTTCCCAAAGCAAACGTGTGCGTCAGAGCAAATGTGTTTTAGAGTTACTGTGAATGCAGACCTGTGTGAGCGAGTGTGAAGGTCATCGCTAAACATCTTCAAAAACATTATTTAATTAAGTATTGATTCATTATAGTTCATTATGATTACCCAAAGCATAATAATCATTCATTTGATTAAAATACCTTTATAATGAATAAAGTGGTAAAATGATTATTTAGCATTAATAAACAAAGGAAGCGTAAGACTCTTTATTATGACTAGACTTCCTGTGAGAACTCCTTCTTCTGGAGATGCAGGTGTTAGATGTTGTTGATTCCTTGTAGACTTGCTGGCGGCTCAGGTCTTAATCTGTGGGTGAAAGTGCTGGTGACCCAGCTTTGACCCAGCCGGGCAAATACGACCTTTGGCACAGAAAAACCCATACTTCCTCACGCTACACCCAGGAAGCGAGGAAACTCAGCAAAGTATCAAAACACACACATAGGGCATTTGACCGTAGACACACAAAGATGGCATGTGATGGAAAAGAACTAATAAAAAACCACTAGGGCTATATGTGCCTGTATGTGCTATTTGTATGTAGATTATGTGAAAAGAGGTCAGCTTAAAGGAGTGGATGCAGTAAACTACATGTACTGGAAAAGTGTTGCAAAAAGAACAAAATAAGCAAAACCCTAAAATATATGTGAGGGGAAATTAAAGTTTTAGAGCTAAAATTTTATCACTATAAAAATTAGACAAGAGCTGTTTTTTCCTAGACTAAGATAAAACACCCAATGTAGTCTGAGGGTTTGTCTTTGCAGGTGTTTTGTTGTTTGGTCCTCCTGGATGTGGGAAGACTATGATCGCCAAGGCAACAGCTAAAGCATCTGGATGCAGGTTTATCAACCTTCAGGCGTCCACGCTGACAGATATGTGGTACGGCGAATCCCAGAAACTGACCGCCGCTGTCTTCTCTTTAGCTGTCAAAATACAGCCCTGCATCATCTTCATCGATGAGATTGGTGAGTAATGGGACGTCTACAGCAGTTTTAATTTGATTTAGTTGTTTGTTTTCCACAACTTCATTTTTATAATTCTAGACAACTCTCGTGAGCATCAAGCCCAGATTATTTGTCTGGAGGTCAGATTTTCACAGCAATTTTCAGTCAGACAATTTGAGTCTCTCTTGTGTTAGAGTCGTTTTTGAGAAATCGATCCAGCCTGGACCATGAGGCCACGGCCATGATGAAGGCCCAGTTCATGAGCCTGTGGGATGGATTGGACACCTCCTCATCCACCCAGGTACCAGAGAGCAGAGCTGCTCCTCCAGGTGGATTTGACAGATTTATAATTCAGCAGATTTGTGACACTTTAGGTGATGGTGATGGGAGCAACGAACCGGCCACAGGACGTGGATCCAGCAATTCTGCGTAGGATGCCCGCCACCTTTCACGTCGGCCTGCCTGTAAGATGTGTGCACCTCCACCAGACGCCGGGGACACACCGGCCGCGGAAGCGCCGCGAAGCGCCGAGAAGCGAATCGCTCACGAAATTCGGCCGCTGCTCGCCGCTCCTCAGTTCAGATCAGACGCGCCCCAGTCGAGGCGCGCCTCGGCTCAGCTGTAGTTTTTCTTTTAAACACTTGGTGTCCTCCATTTCCTCTCTGCCTTTTCTCAGCTCTTTTCCTACGTTTGAGTGTTTGTGCGCGTGCGCGCGCGCGTGTGTGTGTGTGAACCTATGGTATGAGATGTTTCTGCCAGTTGAATCTCTTGGAACCAGCTCCAATTCTGCAGCTGTATCCTAGCAGTTTCTTCCGACATGGGTACGTAAACAATCATGTTTTTCGGGGGTCGTATGCTCCTTGTGTTTCTCAACTTCCATAATTAATTTAAAGTCATCCATCCTAACTGCTTGCCTCAGACTTTCTGCCTCTCTGTCCTGTTTGCTCCGGTGAAAAGACACCCAAAACCACTCCCCCCTTCACGTGGTCACACACGCACACAAGTTCGATGTGTGTGTATGTGTGTGCGTGTTCGTGTGGTTTTTCTGCAGTGTCTGTTTACGAACACATTTGACTATTGCGGAATTTTATTTTGAAATGCTTTATTTTGTTAACTTTACCGGCCTGCCTCTTATGTCTACGTTTGACTTCCTGCCAGAATTGACGCGATTCACCCGCGGCTCGCGAAAAAAATAGAGCCAACGCCGAAATGATCGCTGCACGGCGCGGGCTGGAGCGCCGGCGCGCGCCGGCGCGAGGCGATTCGCGGCGCTTCGGCGGCCCATGTGGTCTATAGAATAGCTTAACAAGGGCGCCGAATGAAGGCGGTCCCATTTTCGCGGCGCTTCGCGGCGCTTCCGCGGCCAGTGTGTCCCCGGCCTAATGCTTAAATTCAGCCTAAATGATTAAAATAATAATGATGCTTTCTGGTTTGTGTATCGGTGAATCAGGCTTTAGTTACAGATCAGGAACAATCCATGAGTTTTCTGGGACTAAAATACGAGTTGAATGTTTAATTCCTGTGCTGTAACATAATATGATCTGATTCATAACTGTGATTTATTTATTTTTTTTGTCTTTGCAGAACACGAAGCAAAGAGAAGAGATCCTGAGGCTGATTTTAGCAGGAGAAAATGTAAGATGTAGTTAGTTTTTCTCTCTAGTTGGCTGGGACTCATTTTCTCCATTCATTCACAATAAATAACTTCACCCAAGAGGTTCTGTTCCCTGACTGGCATCAAACGCCCCAAAAAACGAGTTTCAACAAACTCTGTCCTACACTGCCTGTCCGTGTCATTCTTCACAGCTGAGTAATGCCATTAATCTGAAGGAGATTGCTGAGAAGACTGAAGGGTACTCCGGCAGTGACCTCAGGGAGCTCTGCCGCGACGCTGCCATGTACCGAGTCCGGGAGTATGTCCGCAAGGAGCAGATGAGGCAGATCGCCCAGCAGCTACAGGACTACGAGGAGGAGGAGAGGTAGGGCTCAAACACTCCGACAACCACCCAGCCCAAAATCACAGCAGTTGTACTTAGAGGCTGTTTTAACAAGGACATATTTTACACGAAACTTCATGTAAAAACAGGAAAATTGTTGTTTTCAGTTACGTGTTCAAATGTTTAGTACTTTGAAAAGAGTTTTTATCAAGCCCCCACAATGCGGCTCAAAAATTGAGTCCAACCCGGAAGTACCAAAAATTGCAGTTCCACCCTCATCCACTAGGGGCTGGTGTCAGAAGTGAGCAAATCCTCATCGACTCCCATGTTAAAAATACCAATTTCACAGCAGAAATAAACATGTTTACAGCCTGGTACCAAAACATGTTTTTGGTTTAAATTATCTAGTTTACACTCATGACAACTCTGAGGGGGGTGAATTTTTTTCCTCACTCTTCTGTTTAAGTGTATTAAAAGCCTAAAGTTCTGTATAATTAATGAGCATCAAACCCACGTGACCACAGAGCTAGCTCCGTGGAAAGGCCTCAGTAGAGCCTCGGTCTGGCCTGGAAACTGTTCCGGAATTTTGAGTCTCTGTGTTTGTGTATTCTTGTTTGGATATTTTTGTGCAATTGTTGGACAAAATGACTTGCTGTGGCATTAATTGCACTAATAGAGCGTCCAAGGAGTCTCTACTTCATTTTTTTCTGTAAGTAAAATTATATTTATTTATTTTAGGTCACTGCCGAGCTGAGCTTAGATTTTAACATGTACTGTTTAACCATGAAATTTAAATGTAATAGGGTAAAACCCAGTGCATTTAACATAATGCTGCACCTTAGAAAATGGGTTAAAATATAACATGTTGGTGGAGCTGGGTTCCCACTATCGGCTTGTGGAGCTCTCGGGAGACCTCGGTTTTCCACCCGGTTCTCCCCTCCCCGCAGCTCCGCGCATCTCTAATTGCCGCGGCTCATGTCTGCTGCGCGGCTGCCGGCTGGTTCTCCCCACAACTCGGCGCATCTCTGTCTGATCGCGGCTTCTGTTTGCTGCGCGGGCTGCCGGCTTGTGAAGCTCTCGGGAGACCTCTGTGTTCCACCCGGTTCTCCCCTCCCCGCAGCTCGGTGCATCTCTGTCTGATCGCGGCTTCTGTGTGCTGCGCGGGCTGACGGCTTGTGGAGCTCTGGGATGGAAAGCTTTCCACCCGGTTCTCCCCAGCGGCAGCTCTGCGCATCTCAGATCGCAGTGGCGCTTGTCTGCTGTGCGGCTGCCGGCTTGTGGAGCTCTCGGGAGACCTCTGTGTTCAACCCGGTTTTACCCAGCGGTCAGCCCGGCGTATCTCTGACTCAGAAGCTCTGGTGTTGTGCACAGTTAACTCCGGTTGTAGCTAGGTTGCTACCGCCATTAGCTTAGCTCCCACCTCCGCGTTAGCTTTGGGTTAGCTTCAGGTTAGCTTGTAGCTAGTTCAACCGGGTGTCGTCAGTTGATCCCAGCCTTACAGCCCCACCCTCAGCTCCACCTCTCTTCCCTTTTGTGGAATTGTCTGGGCTTGACGGAACCTGTGACACGGTCAAAATGGCGGTGGTGGCCACCTCCCATTTAGCCTCAAAAACGTGTTATTGGAGCCTATGGAAATGAATTGTCCAGTATATATGTCGATGGTTTTTATACCAGATATATTAGACAAAAGACACACAAAAGCAATAAATACAATTCTGTTTTTTATTTATAATATCAAACCTGTAAAGTAGCAGGTAACCAGCGTTATGTTTTTGATGGGTGTCAGGGTTAGGTAAGATTTTCAACATGTCAGATTTGTAGTTTAGTTCATTCTTCTGGTGTTCTGGTATAGAGTGTAGATGTAACTTGGGTGATTTAGTCTAGATTCAAGCAGATGTTTTGAAATCTTCTACATATTTATCTAACATCTGGACAAGGTACATGAATATGCACACACATTAAATAGGGTTTATTAATAGTTCATGTTCTTTTGTCTAGTTGGATTTCATTATTTGAAGTGTGTTCAAGAGTCTGTTATTAACACACACACCACCAACATGACAGAGTCATGCCTTTGGATCCTCTCACATCATTACTGGTTTTTCTAAAACCTTTTCTGATGGCCTCAGTCTGTTTTTGAAAGTTTGTGTAAAACATCACATTGAAGCTGCAGCTGGAGAACCCGGCTACATCCCGGATATATTTTCTGTCTCCCAGCAACCAGAGTTGAGGAGAATTTGGACACAGTTTTTCTGCAGGCTCCCTTTTCCCTTCAGCGGCACCTGAAACCACCAGGCGTACTGTCTTCTACCTAAGAGTCCTCAAAACCCATGGAGGTGTGAAAGCCGCTGTTTTAGGTCAAACCAAACTGTTAATGTTTCATCTGCAGTTTAGTTTGCCAAAAATCTACTTTTACTACTGAAGCAAATGTAAAAAAACCTCCTAATACTAATGAAACCTCAGGCAGAACACAGCTCGGAGTCATTCAGCCAGATGGTTAACTTTAAAACCATCTGATCATTTATAAAAGGGCTCAAAGATAGCTTTTATAAGAATATCAGCTCCATCTGACACAGTTCTTAACTGTTGCCAAGCAACTGTTGAAGTCCCTGTTAGAGGAGAGCGTTATTGCTTAAAAACACTTCTCCTTTTCAGAGCTTCATGGAAAATAAAAAAGTTCCACAATGAGACTAAGAAGCAGCGTGTGTCGATCGCAAGCGTCCAGAGGCAGAAACGTCTGCTGAGCATTCTGCTGTAATGTTGTTTTTATACGAGGATCAGATGTTTGGAGGCATGCCCCTTTACAAGATATTATCAGAATAAACATCAGTGTGGAAAAAATATCTTTACATCAAACTATTCAGTTGATTAATTCATACATGGTTTAGTCCAAGTGAAGAAACATGACCGGGTGTTTTCAGATAACAGACGGTTCCTACATTCTGGGGTTTTTACAATAGTAGCATAATCAAAACAACTTGTTCCACAAAATAAAATCAATTTAAATAATAAACTGAATGGGCAAAAAAACTGTTCCTTCATTGTGTGGTTGAAACACATTCCAGCTGTTAGGGCTGGGGTTTCTGACCTCTGACCTTTATTTGTGTCTCCAGACCTGTGGACGAGGAGCGGCTGAGGCCGGTTACACAGCTGGACCTCCTCTTCGGCCTGGACAAGATGAAGGAGTCCAAGCAGGCTACGGCCTCCATGATGCCCAGCATGGCAGAGGTTTCTCTGGACTGATCGCTGTGTGTGCATGTGTGTGCGAGCGTGAGGAGACTTTTAGTTTTAGTCAGGTTCTTCTGAGCATGCTCACACTGAACGCAGCCCTACAGGTAAAAGGTAAGACACTGTTCATGCTGCTGACTTCTGAGAAATGAGAATTTGCACCAAAACCACTAAATGCTCCAAGATTTTATTTGCAGCAGAGATTTAGTTGCTAGAGTCATGCCAGGACTTGAGACTTTGGTTGTGTTCTTAATGCACTGAAGTCCCAAAACTAACAAGTAACTTTTGGGACATTAGCTGTACTGTTTTATTCAGAAGTTTTTCTATGATTTATTTATTTGTAGGTTTAATTTGTAAAATAAGGTAATTATTTACTCAATATTTTCCTTTTAACCAGCAAAAGTAAAGCAAAAATATAGACGTGTTGCTCCTGGGGAGCGTTAATTCTGTCTATGTTTATTCTCTTAACTTGTTATAGATAAATAAGGTATTGATGGATTAAGTCAAGTATATGTGTTATTGCAGTGGTGGAATAAACATGCTGCTCTATGTGCACTTATTTCTAGTGTGGAAAACAGCAGAATGTTGGTTTAATTTAAACTTTGGGATTAGAATAACTGTTTTCATTTGAGTTGTGGGAAAAACTTCGGTGTCCTACGTCGATGTACAGACTTCTGTTATTTTAAACGTTTTTATGTCACATTTATTTTTGCTGTTTGGTAATTTTTTTATTGGATTTTTAAGTTTGTGTGTGTGTGTGTGTGTGTGTGTGTGTGTTGTGTGTGTGTGTGTGTGTGTGTGTGTGTGTGTGTGTGTGTGTGTGTGTGTGTGTGTGTGTGTGTGTGTGTGTGTGTGTGTGTGTGTGAAATGTTGCCACCATATCACACATATCAGGTCAGATCATTTTCATTTATTTTACGGCATTTTTTTCATTTATTGTGTTTAAATCCGTTTCATCATCTCAGAAGTTGAAATGTTTTTATTTTGCTGATTTCTGAATGACGATCATTATCTACCAGCTGCATCCTTCAGCCACATGGGGGCGCTGCAGCCTTACTCCTGTTACTGGGGCAGCTGGAACCGGCTGCTTTTACTTAGATGTTTTATTGCATTACAGTTAAGACAAGAACATGCATACTGGATTACTTGTTCCTTTATTGGTCTGTGATGTTTGGACCAGGGTTACTCTTCATTAAAGCTCTTCAGTTAGAACTTAAAGGTCAAAATGTTGCCTTGTAAACCAAATCTGCTTTGAACGGTCTTTTATGAAAACCTTTTGGAGCGTCCACTGAATGCGATATCACCGATCAGGCCCTTCATTGTTTGTATTGCATCATGTTAAGATAAAAATATCAGTTTTGTTGTCATAAATGTGTGTGTTGGTTATTACTTAATAAAAAGCTGTTGAAAACCAAACGTGAAAAGCTCATTAATCCCCAAAGAGAAGCTCCTCTACTTGTATTAAGACACGGAAGCACGTTTTCATACCTCGTTTAGTGAGATGGATGTTCCATCTCGGGTCAGGGGAAGCTATACTTTCATTTATTTATTTACTTTTTTGTATTTTAGGAGGGCTAACCACTTGAGATGAACTGTTTCGTTTACAAGTATGTCCACCTAGAAGGCTTCAATGAAAGACCAAGATTACAGTTTCCATGCAAACATTAAATCATTGAAGCAAGAGCAAGAACACACAAAAACTAATAAAAAATAATTAAATAAATGAACAGCACAACAAATCCATACAATCAAGTTAGACAACTCATAGAACTGATGCATTTCAAGTTAAAGTGAGAGTTATTGCAAATGCACCACTATTAATCCAAAAGAAAATCACAAACGGACGCATTAATAATTCCATGTATTGGTAACCAGAAACCTGGTGTGTGATTTTGTTGTCTAGAACAGTTCCTTGTGAAGTTATCACACAATTCTGTTTGTTAAGATATTACTGTTCCTGTCTAAAGGGAACATTCACCATTCAAAATGGCTGCCACAGCAGAAAACACAAAAAACTGAATTTTACAGATGAGCTAAAATTCAGAGTAGTTTAAAGTCACGACATAAAGGCTAATGTGAACTTGAGTGATTAAAGATGGCACCCTGATTCCGTTTGTAATATAAGTTTCAGTGGGAGCACGGGCAGAATGTCATGCCCTCCAGCCAGAACCCGAAAACAGCACCAGTAGGCAACAACGTATCCAAAAAGAGCCTTTATTTACACCGGCAATAATAAAACAATCACAATCAACAATAAAACACTAGTCCTTCACACTAAAAGCCAGCTGATCAGCATACATTAAAAGCAAGCAGCGGTACTTTGCTGTCCCAGTTGATGCGAACCCCTCCCCGGGGTCTGAGCTTCCGACACCGTCCAACGCCCCGGGGCTCAGCTTGCGAGGACAGCGGGTAAATCCACAACTTAGGTCCGGCTGCCAGAGTCTGTGGCGGCAGATGTTGGCGTGGTCTCGACTCTCGACACCCAACTACTCCCAGCCCTCGCTACCTAAAGAAGGCGTCAAGCCTACCCTCCTATCGCTGGAACACTGCCACCTGCTCAACTATCTGGGGCAACGGTGGCACAGGAGTTAAGTGCTCGCCCCGTAATCAGAAGGTTGCAGGTTCGAGCCCCGCTCAGTCTGTCGCTGTCGTTGTGTCCTTGGGCAAGGCACTTAACCCACGTTGCCTGCTGGTGGTGGTCGGAGGGACCGGTGGCGCCAGTGCTCGGCAGCCTCGCCTCTGTCAGTGCGCCGCAGGGCAGCTGTGGCTACATCGTAGCTCATCACCATCAGTGTGTGAATGGGTGTGTGAATGGGTGAATGACTGATTGTGTTGTAAAGCGCCTTGGGGGGTTCCAAGACTCTAGAAGGCGCTATATCAAATACAGGCCATTTACCATTTACCTTCATCACCGGCAGTCCTAAATGACTGCAAACGATCCCACCCCCCAGGATCTGGTGCCACCATGACAGGTCGACCACACACGCCACCTTGGTAGATCTTCCACCCTTTTGTTCTCTCCGGCCTCATTACCCGTAACAAGGACCAGCCGGCGTCCAATCACCACGCCCTCAGAATCCGGCAACTCCCATCTTCTGTCTTTCACACGTTATTTATCCAATGCTGGGTGTTCGGTTAGGTCGTACGTTTTATTTCTGAGTAAAGTATTTTTGTTTATTGGAACTTGTGATAAAAGTATTCTTTTAGGGGGGTGAGTTTGATTCTTCATAGTAATTTGTAGATGTGCTGTCATCTCCTGCTGCGGTCAGAGACATTAGTGAGCTGAGCTGTCCTAAAGCAGCTCCAACGCCCCCGTTAAACAAAAGCCTCACACGTGCCCTGGGTCCACTTCTCTGCAGCCGACAGGTTTAAATAGAGGACAGGATGTAAAGCTCTCAGTCCAGTTATGGATCACACAACACACATGCTTTTAGGTGAAAATTGCTTCATTTTTGCATTTTAAAACATAATTCTTGACAGTTTTAAGCTTTTCCTGATCAGGCTACAGCACCCACTTAATGCCTAAGCCACAGATTAATTATTATTTCTAAACCAAACTCTGACAAGGTCTGATGATAAGATGTCCTTCATGTCAAGATTCATTAAAGACTTAAGGGATTAACCGGAGCTTCATGATTATTTCACCATGATTCTATGGGGGGTTGTTTGACTCACCCTGCACCGGTTTATGGAGAGAAATCTTGACCCTAAACCTTGATTTTATTTATTTATTTCTGTTTTGTATTCTCAGCTTTTATTAAATTAACTCCTCACATCAGAGTGCATCTCTAGGAGTGATTCCAGTAAACAGCTTTCTGCGTAACGCACGTCAGCATTAACAAAGTAAACACAGCCTCCGCAAACGCCTCATTTACTCTCTGTGAGAGAGTCCTTCACTCAGAGACGGATGATAATCCCACTCAGGGACGTGACCTCCCAGAGTCACCTCACATCCAAATGTCAGGCTTAATTAAGTGAGGAAGAACAAGGACGACTAATGTCACTCTCACAGGTTGGCAGCTTCGTTTCTTGTATTTCATAAAGTATCTGCAATGAAATTAAACACTCAATAAAAGGTGAGTTTCTTCATGAGGCTGTTTTTCTTTGAATAAAATGATCAGCAAAAAGAAATGCACTCGTTTTCAAAGCACGTTTGATATAATGAGACATTTAAACAGATTTGTTTCTTTAAAACTGCAGTTTTTACGCATTGAGCCAAAACAGAAAAACAGTTCAGCTGGAATGCTTCTGAAGCTTTCACCAACATCCTCCCATCTGTTGCACGTTTCAGTTACATGTTGTAATGAAAAGTGACACATTATTTCATGGTGGTTTTATCTCCTAGCGATGCGGCTGTTGTGTTATACGCCTTTTCTTCTCGAGTTAGCGCGTGGGTTCATTCATGTTGCAAACGCTGGAGCTTCACCAATATAACACAGATTATTTAAAGCGTGTTAAAATGGATGGAAATGTGGGTTTTAAGGGTTTCTGTGGTAAAACCATGACTCTAGAAAGGTTTTCACGTTAAATGTAAGGGCTCTGTCTTGAACAAAGACATTTACTAAGAAGCCAGTATGTAATAATAAAGTGTAAGTCTTTAAATGTTCAGGGGCCTCATTTATCAAGCTTGCTTACACACAAAACTGGGTCGAAAAACTGCATAAGAAACTTTCAACGCAAACTTTGGGATTCATGAAAGAAAACTTAGCGGAAAAATGTTCGCAACTTTTAAGTTGACTAAGGACCTTTCTTTCGCACTGTTACACCCCTCTGTGGGCTCAGCTAGGAAGGTGAGGAGGGGGCAACATAAGAAGGACGAGTTTAACGTAAGGTCACCCTAAAGAGGGAGGAAAAGGCTTGACAAAGCAAAGCCAACTCAAAGTGTCCTTGTCTTTTCAAAGGTTTATTAAAAAGAAGAAAAAAAAGGAGGGGGCAAAACCCTTACCTAGAAATTAACCAAGCTAAGATTAATGAATTAACTGAAGATGTCCAAACACTATAAATCCTAAAATAACTCTCCTTTGTTTAAAAGGGGACTGAAAATCCAAAAAGGGCAACAAAAAAAAAAAAAAAAACACAGAGTAACGAAGGGTACTTAACCAACTAAAATCACCAAAGTACAGCTGGCCGTGACTGCTGCTCTGGTGCTGTCCATGGTCCTGGATGAAAGGTGTTTCCCAAGGGGCAGCTGTCCAAGGTGCTGCACTGCTGAATAAGAAAATAGGGAGCGCTGCACACCACTAGGGCTCCAAAACGGCGGCGGCCGTAACACGCACATTTTAGACATGAGAGCACCTGCAGTGCTGCCTCTGAGAAGGATAAAATTATGAAATCCTGCAGCATTATCACTTGTACTGCTTCGTTTTCACACAGAACAAGACCCCCCACACCCATGCACGCGTGCGTACACACGCGTGCGTACACACACGTGCGCGCACACACACGTGCACATACACACACAGCCTGAAGTGCAGAATACGAATGCAGAATATCAGCAGGGGGACAGATTGAGACAGTGACAGTGTGTGTCCTGTCACTGTGATCTGATTGATGATGCGCCCTGGCTACTTGTACAGGGAAGATCTCTGTTTGGCTGACTGGTTAGCATGCATGACTTTCACCTGGGAGTCTGGGGATCGAATCCTGATTGGACCATTTTTTTTATATCCGCCACAGATCTCTCTGAAGAATTCACAACATTGACGACTTCAGCAACGCTGTGCCACTCCGTGGATTTTCTCTTATTTGTTTTGCAAAAGCACTTCCTTTCATTTCTCCACCTCACCTACAGGTACCTTCTGCTTCTGTGAAATTGCGCTTCCTTGATCTACCTTGATCTACAGTTGTCATGTCATTGGCGGAGCGCTGCAACAGCCAGCTTATGCATATGCATGAGATCCACAAGGCACTTTGCATTGACTATTTATGGCGTAAGTGGGCGTGGTGAGGGTGGGATGTGACTAAAATGCAGCTGAGAAACATTCTCGTTAGTCTCCGATTTATGAAGCGGAGATTGCGTGCAACTGTGCGTACTCCATGTTTGATAGATCACAAACCTGCTTGGCGTAAGTACTTTTTTTTTGTTGAGCTTAAGTACGGTTTTATTAAGGATTCTACGCAATGTTTGATAAATGAGACCCCTGGAGAAGGTTTGAAGCTGAATTTTCTTTCTGAACTAAAACCCTTTGCCATCTCTCTGATGGATATTCTCTTTACTAAAAACCCATTCTGTAAAAGTTACAGTAAAACCTCCTCAGCCAGTTTCGGTTGCTGATGCTTAAAGGGGTCAGAGCAGCTGTTTACTCACCATCGGTTTCCCACAACAGTCCTGACTTAACTGTGTTAGTCTCTTCATCATGAGCTCTCTCCAGCAGGATGCTGGCTGACCTGAATGTGATCACTCAGGTGCACTGGCT